ATCTAAAATTTATTATGTTATTTAATTCAAAAGAAATATTTTTTATAGCACACATATTCGACATAAAATATATTAAATTTTTATAATTAACACACGCACTGTTACAATACATGCGATATATCGATACATCAAGAGATATGTCCTAATTTACTACATGAAATAAATAACATTAGGATATATAAGACTAAATAAGAAAGAACAAGTAAAAATTGAATTCTTTTTGCCTGTATACACATAATGTCTTATTTTGAAGATATAAGCTTTGTACTTTTGACTGTGCCTTCGTGTCAAATATCGAAAACTTGAATAAAAAACGAAAATAAATACGTGTAAAAAAATATTCAAGACATGAGAGCTTTGCATACGACTGTGACTGTTGTAGAGTAAAAAATATTGAAGCGCGTGCACTCGATGCATACTTTCGTTTCATGATAGTAGAAATATGAAATTATAGTCGGACAGTTATAAAATTCACGCATACTTCATTATCACTTGTTTCCTCTACTTTATTGTTGTTTCTACTCATTATGTGTCAAAGCAAAAGCAATAATATGAAAAATAAAGAGATAAAGAATCTTTAGAATGCCGAATGTTTAGATATTATGATTATATAAATATTTAGAAATTATGATTGTAAAACAAACGAGAGTCTTTAATACTTACAATCAGGTATTATTAATTCGCTGAATTATCCTATTACATAGATATTGGAATTTAGAATGATTTGAATGTTAATATATCTGAAAAATTTGATCCAAATAACAATCAGTCTGAATCAACTTTTTGTTAATTTAGATCCAAACTGTTCATTACGAGACATACAAATTATAAACAACAAACAGAAATTAATTGTTAAATTAGCTAAAATTTATTAAACTATTTTTTCCTATTTTTTTTGTTTCAGAAAGATGTTTCTTAAAGAAAAAAATATCTGTAATTCAATTAATTGAGTTGATATTTTAAGATCGGGAAATGTTTCTAGATTCTAATTTAATCTAATTATATGTTGTAGACACAATTTTGTAAAAAAATAATCTCCAGAGATATTTTTCTCCACCTTGACGACATATGCCAGAACAAAGAGTTACTTCTCGAAATAATGGGTGACTCAAAAAGTACGTCTCATCCGATTGCATCGCGTCGGGCATCAGAACATCTATTTATAAGTACATGTTTTTCGCGCTAGTTTAATATATCTCAGAACAAGCAACCAGACAATTTATAAGCTAGACAATTTATAATATACATATGAATAAATATTTCGATTTTTGGAGATTTATGTCATATTTAATGAGAAAAATTTTTTTTTTAAATTAAACCGTACACGACCAAAATAACTGCACCTTTTAGAAGTAACATTGGCTAAAGAGAAAAAATAATGTCATTGCCTTCTCGACAAAAATAACGCGTTTTGCGACGTTACACAATTACGCCTCAAAAATTAAGTGGCAGTAATCAAAATTTTTTAATTCAACTAACTTTGCTGCAATTACGCGACTAATTACTTCTATTATATAATTAAGATTATAAAATATGAAAAAATTAATGTAAAGATACATTGAGAGATTGAATATTTTTTTCTCAACACTATAAAAAATTATAATTATCAGCAAAAAAATTTCAGGTTTGTTTTGAATAAATAAAAGACTCGATAGCGTCTCTCAAAAAATAATTACAATTAAATTTAACTTTTCGCATGATATTTTATCTCAACATATAAATTATTATGTTGAGATAAAACAGGGTTGTGCGCGTTACCTCAAAAAATTAACGCGTTACCGTTACCGTTAGTTTTTTTCAAAAGTAACTCGTTACCATCACTCATTACCAATTTTAAGAAGTAACTCGTTACCGTTACCGTTACTTGAAAAGTAACTATTCGTTACTTTTTTTTATAATGCTAAAGTAAGTTATTAAATTTTAAAATTACATTAGCTAATAATTAATTTATATATATAATACTAAATGTAAAATAAATATTCAAACTTGAAATTCTCTACTAACTAATACAGAGCAAGTTTTTCTCTATATTAAACTTACGTACAGTTTTACTAATTCTTTATTTTAATTAGATAATATCGTTATTTTAATTTACACATTTTTGTAAGAATTTAGATTAAACAGATAATAGATTAAACATTGTTTTAAACATTAATGTTCCCTGATGGAAATAAATCGATAAAATCTTTATCAATAGACCCATTTCAGCATAATTCATAATAAAATGAATCAATTGATAGAAATTTCAACGATTTCCAGCGATTTCAAAGATTTATTTCCATCAGGGTTCCTATTATGTATATTTCAATATTTATTGTCCTATCAAAAATTTACAGTATATATATGTAATGTGAATTATATATTTTCAACATTGGCAGTGCCTATTAGAACACAGTATAAGATACTAAGTACAAAATACTTTTTAAGAAATTAAGAATAAATTATAAAATAAGAAAATAATAGGGAACTGAAGTAACGGTAAAAGTAACGGCTAAATTCGTTACTGTAAAAATGTAGCGACCGTTATCGTTACAGACAGAAAAAAGTAACGATCGTTACTAAAAAAAGTAACGAAAACAGTAACAACGTTACAAGTAACGCGTTACTTCCCAAAGTTATAATATCTACTCTACAAATAAACTAAATTTAGCAATTGCGAACAATTTTATAAAATTAAATTTCTATTGTCTTTGAAGCAATTTTACATAAAATTAAAGCAAATATAAGTCCAAAAGTACATATTTGCATAATCTATGTATTCGATGTAATAGAGCTGGCTGAAAACAATAGAAATCTCATATAAATGTTCGCAACTGGTCAATTAACATAAAAAAATTATAATGTTGAAAGTAACAAAAACATCAAATAACCCAAACAGCAGCGACTATTGGACATCTAAAACGTCCAGTAGACATCAATGATGTCTATTGGACGTTTGTTTCTGGATGCCCAATGGACGTCATCTGCTGTTTGGGCTGTTCGGAATATTCGACATCAACCACTCGACATTGACGTATATTGACGTTGGTTCGGCGCTCAGTTCCGACAGGTACAAATAAAAAAAATAAAACAAAGTGAAAATTATCTCGAATGGAAATGATTTTATTATGAAAAATATATAAGTTTTCTTCTTCATGATCACAAAACTAAAGACATAGAGAATGGACTGCGCGATCCGTATCTAAGTAATGTATCAAATATGGTCGACAATAATAAAAGAGAGGTCCGTGGGAGACGGCCAATCCCCCTCTCATTCTCTCTCCCATTACATCATTGAATGGAAAGAGATAGAAATGGCCGTTCGTTTGCCACGGTCCCTCTCTCTCATCTCTATCGACCAGTTTGACATACGGATCGCGCAGTCCATTCTCTGTCTTTGCACAAAACGGAAAAGAACAAAATAGCGTCATCTATTAACGAATCTTCCAATTACAACTACATTATTAAAACTTAGTCACTTAGCGACAGCTATTATTACACACATTCAACTGAATAAACTTATCGAAAACTTGAAATAGTCGCGTATTCGATTAAAAAAGGCAATCGCAGGTGTAGAAAGTGTAATTGAAAGGAAAAGATTCAACGTTTCGCGCAATATCGAAGCTGTTCGCGAAGTTAAAGAAAAGTCCGTCCTTTCCATCTGCAGATTCCGCAGTCTCTATTCTTTCTCATTCCTTCTCTCTCGCGCTTCCGAGAGTTCCAAGTCGCGAACGCATGCTCGGTCCGTTCTCATTTCATAGTGCAGAAGGTTGTAGAAGGTGCAGTGCAACGCGACGCGACGCGACGCGACGCGGCGTGGTACGGCCGGAAGAAAGGGACGAACGAGCCTGAGTGAGCCGTGAAGTGCTGTAAAGAGAAGAGAGTAGAAGACGCTCCGTGAACGCAGCGTCTCGCCGCCACTCGCCGGGTGCCGCTCGGCTGCGCTCGGCTGGCGCGCCAATTAGCGCACGCATCGCGGCGCGCATGCGTTGCCGCGCAGTTGACCTTGACGGGAGCAAATGGCTGCGTCGACGGCAGGCGCCCGCAAACGCTTCGGAAAGAGTCACCGCCACGACAGAGTAGGGGAAAGGAGGAGAGGGGAGGGGAGGGGAGGGGAGGAGGCACCCAGCGCGCGTTCCGTGTCGCCCATTGTTGTCCTCGTCGCGCGTAATGGCCACCGTGAACATTCGTTAACGCGTCGTAAGGTACGCCATATCGCATCCCGGCCTATCCTGTGCGACGGATAACGCCGCGAGTCTCATCCAGCCGCGAAACATCGCGTACGACGGTTTTTATGCGATCGCCATCGCCGCCGAACGAGGTGCGGACAAAGTGCGAGCGAGCGAGGTGAACGAGCGAGGAAGCGGGACAGAGCGGGCGAAAGGGAGCGAGAAAGAGGAAACGACGTACGCGACGAGGAAGGAGCGGCGGCGGCGGCCGCGCGTTTCGTACTCACAGTCGCCGCAACCGCCACCGCGCCGCTCTACGCAGCCGACCATGATTTGCGCGGGCCGACGTTGACAAGCGTGTGACTCCGAAGGTGATTGTTCGCGCGCGCTCGAACCGCATGCTGAAACATACCGAGCGCGTGGTTGGGCGAGCCGAGCCAAGCCAAACCAAACCAAGCCAAGCCAAGCGGACCCGAGCCGAATCGAACCGAGACGAGCCGGACGAGTGGGTGAACGGAACACAGAACATTGCGAGCGAAACCAACACCAACAAGATCGTCGCGATTTTGGACGACGCAACTCCAGCATCGCGAAGCTATCGTTCCGAGGAAGCGTCCGTCGAAATCGAACGCCATTGATTTCTCGCGCGCGGCT